GATTCTTTTTTTCCCAGCTTTTCACCAACATAGTATGGGGACCACTCTGGCAAGCCCTCCCTGCCTAAGGACAATGGGGGGAAAAGCCATTCTCCAAGCACTGGGGAGTAGCTGCAGGGCTGAGTCTCTGGTGACGCAGCGCCACTCGCCCATGCGTTTCACCCTGCCCTCTTGCAACTGTGTATAATCAACAGTGGGAGGCAGGAAAGGAAGTCTGAGCGAGAACAAGTCGTTTTTTTTATCACACTGAGTGAGCAAAGACATCTGGGGAGGCCATACCCTCGCTGTAGCTGATAAGAATGTTATTCACCAACCAAAGAGGAAAGACCAGAGTATGCGGTTTTTGTGCATTGAAGCCACTTCCTTAAACTACGTGACATCAGATTTCATTTTAGATGGTTTGCACCGGTTTTATGAAAGACAAATCAAATTATCTTTAATGAGGGGAAAGCGCCTTTTATAAAAATAAGTATGGTCTTGCTATATGCATTGTTGAGTGCACTCACATTGTCATTTGGCTGCACATCTGACAGAACAGTCCATTAGGGCTCAGAAAAGTCACCTTGGGAATATTAAGCCTTTTTTCTAGGGATCCTTAAGAAGTCTATTGCACACACAGACTGAAGACACAAAACAGCTTGATTGTTAAGACTCTGCTTTGATGACAAGCTTCCCTTTCATTTTGAAATTTGATGTGGTTTTGCTCATTCTCTAATTAAAGTAGCAATTCTCAAAGAGTGCAGATTGTACAGGTTTCCAGGCTGGAAGTTTTTTGTTGCAGTTCGTGTGAAAGAGTCCTCAGTCCTAAGATGTTGCTGTTAAGACAAAGGGTCACCCAAGTGTGTATCAGAAAGCACGTTCCCTCGCCATTTATGTAACTGAGCATTCCAAATGCCTGTTGGGTTTTAGCTACCTGGTGGGAACCCGGATTTCCTGTGCTTTTCCAGTGGAGAAGCAGCAGTGATATCTCTGGAAGCCATGAAAATTCCACTTGTGGCTTGGATATTAAGATTTACCAAAGTCTGCTTTTGGAGGACGCCTACCTTCTCAACACACACATGAACACACACACACACACACACACACACACACACACACACTGCAGAGAATTTATCCTGTAATCATAAATAGACTGATTTTTGTCTGCATTCACAATATTTTGAACATATGGTGTTAAAATATATTACTAGAATTAATTTTATCTATTGCTTTTACATTTCCTAATGCGGCTACTAGAAAATGTAAAATTTCATATATAGCTTGCATTATATTTCTATCGGACAAGGTTGTTTTAGAGCAGGCATCTATAACCCATTGCCTGCAAGCTGGTCATCTGTTTTTGTAAAGAAAGTTTTATTGGAAAACATGCCCATTCATTTATATATTGTGTTTGGCTGCTTTCCTGCTACAACATCAGAATTGAGTAGTTGCAATAGAGCCCATATGGCCCATTAGCCTGACATAAGTACTATCTAACTTTTTTTTAAAAAGTTTTCTTGCTGCTATTCTACAGTAGTGATTTTTAACCTTTTCTTTTCAACCATGACCCACAATAGGAAATATATTTAATATCATGATTCAACACACACACACATAGACACACATCTGAATAAAAGTTTTACAAAACAAAATTTCACAAATCCTTACTATATATTTTCATGTTTTCTTGGTCTGTATTGTTTTGTTAAACTAAACTACTGGTCAATAACTACTGTGACCCACTAAAATGACTTAGCCATTCATTCAGTACTAGTGATTTGATTGACATTGCTCAAGAATATATACCCAAAAATGGAGAGACCGGGTTATAGGAATGTGCATATTTAACTTTATAAGATGCATCAAATTGTTATTCTGTGTGTTTGTATGTGTGCATGTATGTGTTTACCAGTCTACAGTTCCACAGTGCAAGAAAGTTCCACTTTTCCCATTTCCTTAACAATATCTGATACTGATGGTCTGATCTGATGGGTGTGAAAAAAAATCTTGTTTTATTTATAATGGGATTATTAGTAAGTTTGATCATCTTTTCATGTGTTGACTGATCTTTCATGTTTCTTCTTTTGTGAGTTGCCATTGCTCTTTTTCAAATGGGATCATTTATCTGTTTCTTAGATTTATAGGCATTCTTTTTATATTCTGGATACCAATACTTTATCAGTTATATGGGTTGCAAAGATGTGAGTTGCCCACTCCGAGGCTTGTATTCTCACTTTCTTTAATGGTGACTTTTATTTTATCAGACAGAAGTTTTAAATTTTAAAGTAGTGAAATTTATCTATCTTTTATATATATATTTTTAAGCTCTTATATAAGAGCTTAAATCCTTCTCTACCCCCACGTTCACAAAGATTTTCTCTGACATTTTCTTTTAACATTTAGAATTTGGTGGGTTTTTTTTTTTCCCATCACAAAAAAAAAATGTGGTGTGAGATATATAGCTCTACTTTTGTTTTTCTTCTTCCATAAATAGGTGCTGTGAATACCACGAATTGGTGTGGCCACCCTCCCATCAGTGTAATGCTACTTTTGTCACATAGCAAGTTCCTGTGTACAGGGTCTGTTTCTTAGATCTCTGTCCTCAAAATATCGGTCCTAGATTTATCAGAACCAAATCTTTACCGATCACACTTATATAGTAACTGGGCCTCAATAGTTTCACAGGCAAATTTTAGCAATCTTTCAGGGAACACAGCATGCTTATCTTGTAAAAACTGCATGAGATAACTGAAAAAGAGAGAAAGTTACTCAGTTCATTTTGTGATTCTAAGTTAACCTTTATGTCAAAACCGGACAAGGACGGGACAAGAAAGAAAAATTATGGGCCAGCCTCTATTTGAATATAAATGTAAAAATCCGAAATTAAACATTAGTAAAAATGAATCTAGCAATGTGTAGTAAAAATAAGTATATGCAAAGTAAAGTGTGCAAGCATGGTTTAATTTAAGAAAAGTCATTAACATAACTCATCACATTAACAGAATAAAGGAAAAAAATGATATGATTTTTCCCATAAATATAGAAAAAGCATTTGAGAAAATCTAAAAACTGTAAATGATTTAAAAATACAAAACTCTTAGAAAACTTGGTATAGAAACAAACTTGTTTAACCTGATAAAGAGCATCTACCAAAACCTACACCAATTACATGCTTAGTATTGATGCATTCCTTTTACTGTTCTGATACTGAATTTCCTCTGTGTATTTGGCACCTGAGAATTGTTCTTTCTTTCAAGCTTCTCTGTTACTTTAAATAATTGTGTGTGTATACATATGTATATGATATATATATGCTACTCACATATACACATATTTATGTATTTTTTTTATTTTTTATATTTATATACATTTCATTCATTGTTTTCTTGCTTTTGTTTTTTTAAGTTTGTTGAATGGGGAACTGTGCCAGCTCACTAGCCATGATGCTAGAGTTTTTCCTTTGCTGAGTTTCTGGGCCTGAAGAGTGAGAAACTCTAGAGACCCCTTTGGAGTCGGCAGAGCTTGCCACAGAACTGGCTTCTGTCCTACACTGAAGAGTTGTCATTATTCGTGATTTCATACTCTGGCTTCCTCTAAGAAAACCATTAGTGATGGATCCAATGGGGATAAAAATATTGTATGAAATGTTCTATGATTGTATTTTGCCAGAGGGTTAAATAAAGATCATCTGTCATAGCTTTCCCTAAGGATTGGATATTTCCAAGATCCCAACAGCGATACTGAAATACAAAGACTACAATTGGATTACATCGCGGGAACTGTCACACTTACATTTGACAGCTTTAAAACATTTTAAAAATGTGATTCTAAGGTTTGGGAGCGGGGAGAGGGATGTATTTTCTAAAGAGCCCTTTTCCTGGCAGCAAACAAATTGTCTCTAAACTTTTCTGTTAATAAATAAGGGATTCCAGTGACTATGAAAACTAACACAGGGCCTGGCAATGTTGAACACAAAGAACAATGGATCAAATCTTAACTGTAAGGTCATATGCATTAAATAAGGCAGTTCTGATGGCAAATCAATACTGTATTGTGTATTTCCTATAGCAGATGGTGGGATATAGATCTGCTATAGCAAGAACAGGAATGTCATCAGGAAATATCAGTTTGGACAAATGTGGGTTACCACCAGCTGGGAAAGAGCTGGATTGATCGTGATCTATCTCTCTTCATGGTGAAAATGTCAGGTTAGAAGTGAATATTCATGTGATCCTTGGAAAGGGGTAAGGAGAAATCAATAAGCTAAACACTCTACCTAATAATGGAACTATTTTCTCCAAGGTGAGTTCTTTTTTCATGGAGTTGGTATTCCTGTCCCTCATATGTTGGTAATGCTGCCTTAGAGATACAACAAAAGATTTCATAGAAAACCAAAGGGCAGATTCCACAGTTCTGGAACAAGGGTTATGTCAACTTGATTCTATCTAAGCATTTCCCTGGAAGTCTGGGTAAAATTTAAATAAAGTTTTCCTTCATTCCAAGGAACAACCTAGACCCTTTGAAACTATGGCAAAAGAGTACCAGGCAAAAAAAAAAAAAGAAAGAAAAGAAAAGAAATCCCACATTTTTAGGCCTAGTTTGCAATGCTCTTGTCTTGTCTTAGGATCTCGCAAAACTACCCAACCTCTGTATATCTCTACACATTGTCTTGTATGATAATGTTTTGATTTTTCTTTGTAGAGATGTTACACAGGATATAATAGATGACATAAATATTTTGGTATATAGGGTCAGAACATGAAGGCAGTTCTTTCCAAGTCAGGATTGGGGTGCTTGTCTAAATTGAATAGGCTCACTTCTCCTAACCACTCTCGAGAAGTCTCCTACCACTCATGTGCATAATTCAGAAGAGCCTCTATTCTCTCCCCCCAGAATACTTGATTTTAAACTTGCTGACATTGGCTAGGTTTCAAGAGCCCAGTAGGTTCATGATCCATCAGCCTGGTTTCTGAATGGAAACCAAATGAATTGCTTTTCTTGTTTGTTCTTACCTTTTCCAGGCACCTTTTAAAAATGAACAAGAGCAGCTCTGATTTGGAGAAAGTGAGCCAGGGCTCTGCAGAGAGCCTCAGCCCATCCTTCAGGGGTGCCCACGTCAGCTTCACCACCGGCTCCACAGACAGCCTGGCCTCAGACTCCAGGACCTGCAGTGATGGAGGTAACACACTTGACCTTGACACAGAGGCTTAGGGTCCCGGGGACCTGCAAGGCCAGTCCTGGGTTGGTTGCTGGGATTTGGAAGGGCTGTGCAAAGCCTGCTGTCTCCGTCCTGCTTTCTCCGTGGAAGCATGACTTTCCCAGGGAGTAGTGGAAGTTAATTCCCTACTGAGTATGTGACAAGCCACCTCATCCGAGGTGCCCTCGCCGATTATAAGCACATTAGCATGGCAGCAAGGTGGGAGGAAGATGAGGATGAAAGATATTGAAAGGCTCTTGATTCCCTGGGTAACCATCTATGTATAGTTCTGTTCTCCATTTTTATCCTCAGGGTTAGTTCTAAGGGGGTTGGATGCCTACTAGACACAAGTCACCCTCTGCCAATCTCTGTCTCTCACACACACACACTTACTTGCGCACAGCGGGTGTTTACATAAATGTTGAATGAAAACATGGAGGCTTCATTAGGCCACCATCCATCCCTCTTTTGGAAGCCAGCTCTAAGTCGCAATATATGGGTACATCTTGATTGGCATGTCCCTGTAAAGGAACTTTTGTTTGTCTGTCCCTGTGGCCTGGATCGGTGGCATTTAAACCCTCTCACCCTTTCAACATTCTTGGGGCATGTGCGTGTCCCCTCCTGTGAGTCTCTCCGATGTTCTTTCTTCCAGAGAGAACTTCTCCCAGGGTAGCACAGAATTCACTTGACTGTTAAGGTTCTTGTTATATTTCATACAGAAAGAATGAAAATTGAGCACAAGCTTTCACGATACACTGTGATTATTGTGATACAGGCTGCAGTGGATTTATCCAACAGCTGTAAGATCACAAGTTCAGAAGAAGTTAGATAAAATGACTTTATATTTGAGGGTTCAAATTTGAAGAGTTGTATTTCAAAGTGCATTAGGGAATAATAACCAAAAATAAAAATAAAAAATGTTGGGATGTTTTTGTGTGTAAGGTTTAGACACGTGCTGGCATGACTTCCTTTCTCCTTCCTATGGAAGTATTTCTTCTCAGTAGGTAATTCTGCAGTAGAGGCTTTCATCATAAATTTACTGTTAGCAACATTTGTCTATCTAAAAGATAGGTAGTGGCTAAGGAAAAAGCATGTGTTGTAAGTCAGTCTGTGGCGAGTTCCAATGGGAAAGCTCCGATAGCTGGTGCATAAAAACAGGAAATATCTTAGCCTTGATTGGGAGGAATGTAGCAAAAAAGGATTTTCTTTTTCTGCAGATTTTTCTAGGCTGCTATCTTCTTCCTTTTCCCATTCCATTGTGCAAAAAATTCAATGAGGCAAATTGTTCCATAGAGGGCTGGACATCTCAGCCATTAGACCCTGTGCTGGTCAGGTCTGTCCGGTCTCTTGGGGACTGTGACCGGTTCTAAGAAAATGATCTATAATGGACCCTTCCATCAGCCACCAGCCAGCAGGTATTATGAGAACTAGACTTCATTGCCTCAACACTTTGCTTCTCTGAACCAGTAAATTACGACATCTGGTTTCAGGGCTCTTAAGGACGAGCTAGGAAAAAGGAGTTAAAACACATGACACGTGGGTAGATGGGATACGGTAGGAAATTGGGCTGCCCAGAACATGAGTGCTTCTACGCCTTTCTAAAGGGTTCCAGAAGACAGAGAATCAATGAAGACCTATTGGCGTTGGGGGTGGGGGCTTCAGGGAGGGCTTTTTGAGAAGGTGGGACTTCAGCTCATGTCTGAAGCGTGGTTAGAACTGGGAGGTAGGGGTGAGGAGGAGAGGGCTTTCCAGGTTAAGGAAATATTAATAATAAAACAGGGACAAGGATGGCAGTACACACCTGGAAAAGGATGAGACCAGCCTGACATGCTTCAGGTGAGGGGAAGGGGGACAGGAAGGGGGACATGAGGTTGGTGGGGCTAGATTGCACTAGGCCCTACACAGCAATCTGTGGAGGTGAGAGACAGGGAGCCACGGGAGGTTTGTGACTACAGCATGGGTACCTAATTCAGACATTTCTGTTAGTTTCTCAGTAGCATGAATTAAAGAGAATATATTTTCATGGTATTCCTTTATCACAAGCCAGTTATTCAGTGGAAATGCACTTCAAAATTTGGATCCCTAGATCAACAAGAAGATTATGTACCTTGTCACTGGACTCTGGCCTCTTCGAGACAGCCACTTTTATCTGTTGCTCCTGGGTGTGGCTCTGTACCTGGAACCATGTTTCTAAACTGGCAAGAAACCAAAGGGGCATATTCATTCATTCTCTCTCTGTCTCTTTCTCTCTCTCTCTCTCCCTCCCCTTTTTAACGTCTCAAACATTAATATGGAATATATACAAGCCACTGGTCATATGTGAGAAGTCTTTCAGCTTCTCATCATTTACCAGGGCAGCTTGCTTTTCAATTTGTTATTGAACAATTATCTTTCAGTCCCATGCGTCCTTACTGTCTTTTATCTTGTAGCTGAAATATTTACCCATTCATGACTTTAGTTACTATGTGGGCTCAAGTACCAAAATTGAGACACTGGATCAGATGAGAAGTAGAATCTGTTCAAGCCAAAGTTCTTTGAAACTTGCACATAGTGCCTGCCTCTCTAAAATTATACGTAAAGTCAAAAGATACTGATGGAAATAATGCATTTTATTGACTTTATGCATCCCTGCGTGAATTGAGGAAAAAGTCACTCCAGGACATGGCATAAAAGAACTTTGTGTAAACTTCTTGGAAATTTATCAGGGTTAATGGTTAAAGTGAGTGATCTACTATTATTCAGGTTTTATGGCACAAAGTAAAGATTTCCATTTTATAAAAAAAAAAAAAACACATAATTGAGATATATAGCTTTGTTCCATATTTAAAAACAGGAGTTAATTCTAAAATGTTATGGTGACCAAATGTCATTTTTGTAGCAATATTAATTTCACCTCTTTATACTTGTATCAAATTTCAGATTTCTCTCAGCACATTTGTTCTTGCATTTGTCCATGTGGGCAGTTCAGTTGCACAGTGAGTCAACTCAATGGAAGGAAAAATTTGTCTAAGCAGTTGTTTGGTTTGTGCTTAGTTGGGGAAGGACAGACTGCATGTGTCAGGACAGATCCATGAAGGCTGCCAAGGGAAGGTTGTCTGCAGGGAATGGCTGGTTGCATATAAGAGGGAAATGATCGGTGGAATGATCATCAGAAATGTCATCAGAACACTCTTGTGCTTTAAGCGGTTCCTTCTAAATATGCAAACCTAATGTCGCATGGAGATCATGTCCCTCTTTGATTTAGGATAACATTAAAATTCAGTTCAGCAATTCAACAAACATTTTTGAATGCAGGGGATTAGAGGAGATTAGAGAGTTCTCTGTTGAACTGAAACCATCAGCACCAGCAGTAGATAAGAAGTCTAACAATACAGTGTATACAGGTATAAACTCATGAGAATGTCTGTACCAGGGCAGTGTAGTTATTCTCATTTTTTTTTATTTCGGCATATTATGGGGGGTACAGATTTTAAGGTTTCAATAAATACCGTTTCCCTCCCTGCCCCCACAAGTCTGAGTTTCCAGCATGACCATCCCCCAGTATTCTCATTTTTATAGCTAGCAAACCAGAGGTACAGAAAGTTAGCTAAATACTTTGACAGTGGCAAGCTTGTTTTGCTTAACAATAATGCCAGGCAATTTATATATATATGTGTGTGTGTTAGTTCAATCATTCATTTGATAGATATTTGTTGAATGCAAACTCTATGCTGGGTGCAATTCTAGATGCTGAAGACCCAGCAGTGGAAACAAACTCCTAGTCCCTTCTTTCAGGGGGCTTGCATTCTGGTGGGGAGAGACAGGCGATGGGAAGATAAAGAAATAAAGTAGCTAGCATGGCAGGTGGCAGCTAAGAGCTTCCATCAACAGCATATGGAGGCCGGGCGGTGGCTCACGCCTGTAATCCTAGCACTCTTGGAAGGCCAAGGCAAGAAGATCACTTGAGGTCAGGAGTTGGAGACCAGCCTGAGCAAAATGAGACCCCGTCTCATTCTAAAAAATTAGCTGGGCAACTAAAAATAGAAAAAATTATCCAGGTGTGGTAGCATATGCCTGCAGTCCCAGCTACTTGGGAGGCTGAGGCAGTAGGATTGCTTGAGCCCAGAAGTTTGAGGTTGCTGTGAGCTAGGCTGACGCCATGACAACCTACCTCAGGTGACAGAGTGAGACCCTGTCTCAAAAAAACAAAACCCAAAACCAGCATATTGAACTTTTAATTTTACTAACTTGGAAGAAAACCCTTAAAGATTAAAGATCACAATTCCAGAACCACACTTGGGCTGTCGGCATGGCCTACAAGGTGTCTAGAGCCTTTTTTCCAACCTGAGACAGGGCTTCTCTTCTTTTGCATGTAATCACATTCATGTCTTGATTATTGTTTCCTGGGGTGATTAAGTGGTCTGGAGAGACTCCTCACAAATGCTACATTTTTCATCCCGTTGGAAAATGCTAATAACCTGCTTCCAGTTTCAGACCACGTTTATCTTCTTAAAAAAAGCAAAGGCTCCTTTTGAAGGAATGCTTTGCTTTAAAAAAAAAAAAAATCTTTATTTAATGTTGACTCTCTTCCGACTGTAGAACCAAACAAGAGGTTGCACAATTTCCCTTGGAAGGAAAAAGTTTCATGTAAAGCTAGAGCATCCCTGTGTCCCCACCTGTCAAGGGATTGGCAGAAACCTGCATGAGTGCCACTTCCTGCATGACATGGGCAAGGTGCCTACGAAGATGGCTTTAGTTTTCTCACCTCTAACATGAAGGAATTGAACTAGGCCACAGGGAATGGGCAAGGTTTTCTCCAACTGCTTTGTCCCCTATGTTTTGCACTTAGTAGGTGCTCAAGAAATAGTGGCTGAATGAATGGATAAATCTATATAGCCATTTCCAGCTATACAATCTATTATCCTCATTTAAAAAAAAAAAATCCATAGAATACTCCAAGTTTTTCCAACAAAAAAAAATTCCATTCACTTTTCCTTACTCGAAGTTGGAGAACAGTCAGGTACACAAGCTAAGAAAGAGCTTGGGCAAACTTCGCTGGGACTCTGCCCTTTGCTCTCTGCCCCAGCCGCATTCAGATAGCAGAGCCGTGCACAGGGAGAACCCAAACAGGACTGACCACTTCCTCTGTAAGCCCGGCTCTCATTTTGGCTGCAGAGAACAATGAAAGTACCTATTAAAACCCAGCAAGAAGAGAGGGCTCTATAATAAAGAAAACCTCACAGTACCACATTTGAACTTTTGGCCTGCATTTCTGCAGAGGGGGTAAGCTGTTCTTTCCCACCATTGAAATATTGATTTCTCATCTCTGCTTTTTAAAATAGAATTGACACCAATCTAGTATACCTTCCCCTAGGTCTTTTTATGATCCCATCGATGTGTCTTATGTGATGTGTAGCTTCCCACTAGACACACTGAAGGGATGCAGGGTGTTCTAATGGAGAGTTGGAAACCTCCTTTATATGCAGAATTAGAAATTAGAAGGAAAACTTAGGAACTGGGGTTCAGAGCCCTCTGGCCCAACTAGTGTGCAAAATTACTAAAAACCTATCACTAATATAACTAAAACGTAGGCAGAGTTCCCAGAAAAGTGTTTTCCACTCTTACTCCTTTTATACCCTTAATTGTAAGCCAGACTTTGGAAACAGCCATCTAATTCCAGAATAAAACCAGGATGTATTTGAATTAGTCTCATGTCCCCTTGGATTGGAGTCCTGAGAACATGGGCTGTTGACCAAAGTTGTTCAGGAGTTCTTAGGCAGATTTTTTTTTTCTGAACCAGTGGTTTGCCTTGTGCATTTTGAACTATTTTAGGTGGCAAGGCATATTTGTATTCTCTTCTAAATCCAGAGTGTGGCAGCTGCTACGAATAGTAAGAATTTAGTTGCTATGTTTAGGAAGAGGTGGTTCCCTAAGTTGAGTCAAGAAAATGACAGAGCCAGAGTGGGCCTTTAGAAGTACCCACTGATCCTCTATAAGACAGCAACTGCTTACCGTGTAGTAGAGAAATCAGTTACATCTAGAAGGGCCATAGGTTAGCATCTATTTCAAAGTGGCCCTGAGAACATTAACAGCTGAGAAGCTATAGGATTCCGAGGGACCTGGGGGGCTGCCAGAGTGAATTATGGCCTTTCGCCAGCTGTGCTTCCCCATCTAGAGAGCTTTAAGGAGCTGCAGGGTCAGAAGGTGGTGTCACACAACCAGGCACATTTTTTTTTCTGAATGCAAAAATCATAATATGTGTACCCAGTGCCTAGTTATCCATGTAAAGTCCGCATTTCAGGTGAGTCTCACTCACTTCACCTGGTAAGGTTTGTGAAACTATAGGCCTTTACTTCTGCAGGGCAAGTTCATGGTTAAGGAGCGTTTGTTTATGCACTGCCATTCTCTGATGAGTACGTGTATTATGGATTGTTGGGTAACAAACTCACAGCATCTAAGAAATAAAGAAAAATGAACGTGGCCGGGTGCAGGGGCTCATGCCTATAATTCCAGCACTTTGGGACATCCAAGTGGAAGGATCGCGCTTGAAGCCAGAAGTTCGAGACCGTCTTGAGCAACATAGTGAGACCCTACTTCTACAAATTATAAAAACAAGGAGCCAGGTGTGGTGGCGTGAGCCTCTAGTCCCAGCTACTCTGGAGGCTGAGGCAGGAGGATCGCTTGAGCCCAGGAGGTTGAGGCTGCTGTGAGCTATGATCGCACCACTGCACTCCAGCCTGGACAACAGAGTGAGATCCCATCTCTAAAAAATAACTAAATAAATAACTAGCCCATGTGCTAATCCCTGGAGCCATGCCTTCCTCCGGATTACTAATATCCCCTGCCAGATTTACCCAAGCAGTTGCAGGGTATAGATCTGATCCAAGTCGCTGACTAACAAAGCTCCCACGGGAAAGCAAGAGGACACAGCATAGGGTATAGGAGAAAACCACTTCCTCTCGGCTGCCTGAAGACACGTCTCTGTGCTGGGTCCTACCATACAGTCTAAAGCACAACCTCTTGATTCTCGTTGGTAATCTAGGGAATAAGCAATGTTACAGATTATTATTTTTATTTTTTAGAGATTCCTGCTTATTCCTAAAGATTGCAAAGTTTACCAGCTGTGGCCCGTGCGAGCTAGGGAGAGGAGCTTTTGCAGCAAGATAACCATCTGCCTGGAGGCGTTTGCTTTCAGGGGCAGCTTTGAGATGAAATGCATGTTTGGAAAGGCTGAAAATGGAGAGAGTGGCTGAAATGATAGACTATTAGTGCTAGGAGGGGCCTTCCCAGTGATGCAATCGGTCACTTTTAAACAAGGAAACCCAGCTGGGTGAGGCCAACAGCTAGTGAAGGTTTCATTCCGTAGAAGCAAAGACAAGGAAGATGAAACCAATAAAGATGGGAAAATAGCCTAAGGCTTAAAGAAGGGACTAGCCAAGAAACTGATTTGTTAGAAACCTCCCTGGCTGTCCCTGTCACTGCCACGCAAATGAAAGCATGCACCAGGCATCCGATCACACCCCATCTGCAACCCCAACCCTGTGTTGATGATAAATTGAGGATTAGACACCTGGTGGTGCAGAAAGGTCAGGAAATGCAGGTGTGCTCCCTGCTGGCCAGCCCTCTTACTCATCAGGCTGGGGTTTTGGTAGCTCAGATTTTCTGTCCTTTGAGAGCCTCCTAGGTAGATAGGTGGTTTCACCTTCCCTTTTTTAGCCTCCGCCTGTGGCTTTGGTGCAGAGCGTGGGTTGGGCAGACCCATGGACTGCAGGGTTTCAGAGCCTGCTGGGCCGGAGCCCCCACCCCCACCCCCCTGTGGCTGGCTACTGCTCATGCAGCCTCCACTCTGACTACTGGGGAGAAAATCCATGGGCGTGTACAGCTGGCTGGTCCCAACTGCGCCACTGCTGCTCCATTTATTATTAACCTGAGCCCTCCTGGAAGGGGTATAAATCACTCATTCAGCCTTGCCGGCAGGAGCCCTGCCTGTCATTAACAAAGCCGGGTAAAGTGGGAAGGGTAACTGTGATCTTGATAAAACACTGGGAAGAAAAAGGGATTGCTACTGCAGACAGGAAAGAGGGCAAGGGGGCGTGAGAAGCATCGAGCTGCCTCCTGGGCCTGGGGAGAGTCCAGGATGGGGTTGGTGCGGGGTCCGACGGCCGTGCTCGGCTGCCTGGGGGCTGCTGTTTGCACGATCCTGTTGGTTCTCAGATCCTGTGTCCAACACGCTGCATGCTCCGACTTCATGGTTCCAAGAGCTTTGCATTCGAGGTTGTACTAGGCAGGAGGCCCCTGCGGTCACCCACTGGTGCTGTCCCAGTCAGTGTGGCTGGGGCATGAGTATGAGCGCCCGCCCTGCCCAAGGATGTGGCCATCCACCCTCTGTGTGCATTGTGCCTTTTTCATTCCAGTCCCGCTGTGGAGACGGGCAGAGGTGCAGAGAGACACTATATGCTCTGCCCTAAGGTGACATGGCACGGGGAACTCAGTGAGGAGGGCACATCCTAAGTCCCCTTTTCCTTGAATCTAAGACCCATATTTCTTTCACATCTTACCCTTCAGGATGATAGGATATATTTCCCAACCTATGGATATGGTTAATGTTTCTTTTATTCCCCTAAAAGCTGTTATTCAAATAGATCCATCTGAGAGTCAGTTCTTAGAAGGAAGGAAATGAGTATTATTTCAATCTGCTTTTTTCTCTGTCCAATTGTACCTCTCTCTTTACTATGTATTTTTTACTTAAACTCTTGTCTCACTGTGAAGCCGCCATTTTATACATTGAAGAGAAAAATGAGGTCCAGCCTTACCTTGTAAGAGCTGGCCCTCCTCTCCCCGTCTCAGGTGCTGCCTGGGGACAGGTTTTCTGAATGTCCCCGTGCTCTGTGGACACCTGAGGTCCTGCTTGAACCTCCCCCCCCCCCCACCCCCGCCCCCAATCCGGTTGAGTATCCCTGTGCTCCACGCTGGGAACTGTGATCCCTTGAAAAGACTTGCTTTCCTTTAAGATCTGTTTCCTCATTTATAAAATCACATTTTCCATCCTTCTAAAATGCAGGGCACCTGCCCACTAAGCCAGCAGGGTGTTTGTGAAAATGCAAAGAACTTCACACTGAAAAAGGAAGAATTTGACTACAGGTTGACTGGTATACCTTCCAGAAATCTGACATTTTTTAACAATCCAGTTCAAGTTTGTTTTTGCTGTGGCAGCTCTGTAAAATATTTGAAAAAATATAAGTGACCACCCAGGGGGACTGGTTTGATAAATTATGATACTACATATGACGATCTATGATGGTATGGTTGTTTAAAAGGATTAGATAGATCTGTGCATCTAATGTGAACCCTCTCCAAGATGCGAAAGAAAAGCAGCACTCCAATCAGTGGGCACTGTTTGCTGTGTCTCGTGTAAATGCGTGTGCGCGCACATTTGTTTGCATTGTTGGAAGAATGCGTGACAAACTTCTGTCAGTGGTTTTCTCTGATGAGGGGAGCTGGGTGCTAAGCAGGGACAGGGTAAGGAGGAAGACTTGTCAATGCATACCATTTTTCATTTTGATTTTTGTCCACTGTGCATATATTGTCTATTCAAGAAATAGAAAACAAGTGAAATAAAATTAATTGCTTTGACTGAAAAAAATTTTTAAAAGCTGCAGGCCCCTGGAACCAAGTGGCCTTGGCCTTGGCCTGATGGTGTGTGTTTCTCCTTTCAGGTCCGTCGTATGAGGCGGCTCACTCGCCCACCATCAGCGGGAAGAAGCTCTTTGCTCCCATGCCATTCCCTTCGGGCTCCACCGAGGATGTGTCCCCCAGCGGGTCCCTGCAGCCCCCTCCGCTCCCCCAGAAAAAGATAGTGAGCCGGGCAGCCTCCTCCCCCGATGGCTTTTTCTGGACCCAGGGCTCCCCCAAGCCCCGGACAGCAAGCCCCAAGTTGAACCTAAGCCACTCGGAAACCAACGTCCACGATGAGTCTCACTTTAGCTATTCCTTGAACCCGGGGAACCGCCACCGTCACGGCTTCTCCTCTTCTGAGCCCCTGGAGAGAGCTTTCAAGGGCAACGGCCCCTGGGTGCCCGTGCCCGGGCCGGCGGGCAACAGAAGCGGCGGTGGGAGTCCCGGGCCGCAGTGCAGAGGGGCCGCCTCCGCCTCGTCCTCCCAGCTGAGCGTGTCCAGCCAGGCCTCGTCCGGCAGCGCCCAGCTGCAGCTCCACAGCCTCCTGAGCAGCATCAGCAGCAAGGAGGGGACCTACGCCAAGCTGGGGGGCCTCTACACCCAGTCCCTGGCCCGCCTCGTGGCCAAGTGCGAGGACCTCTTCATGGGCGGCCAGAAGAAGGAGCTCCACTTCAACGAGAACAACTGGTCGCTCTTCAAGCTGACTTGTAACAAGCCCTGCTGTGACTCGGGGGATGCCATTTATTACTGTGCCACCTGCTCCGAGGACCCCGGCAGCGCCTATGCTGTGAAAGTAGGTACCGCCCTCCTCCTTCCGGGCCGCAGCAGCTCTGGCTGCTCCTGGCTCGGGCAGAATCATGGCTCGAGCAAGTCATTTCGCCTCTCTGGGCTTTAGGGAAAGGCTCGATTCCCAAGAGTCCTTTTGTCACTTAGCGCTCAGTGGTCGCACTCTCCGTCTGGCCCAGGACATGGTACAGTGAGAATTGTAGATGAATATAAGACGCATTCTGTGCTGTCAGGAATGAACCTGTGTGATCTAGTTGGATTAAGAAGACAGTTGCCTTTTAGTGCAACGGAGTTCGTTCATGTGTTTAGCAGGTTTTTATTGAGTGCCTACTATATGCCAGGGATTTTGCCATGATCTCAGTACACAGGGATGAATACAGGTTCCTTATGGGGCTTATAATCTAGTGAGGGCGATGCACAATTGAGATATTGTTTTTCCAATGTTAGGGCCAGAAGCAGCATTAGACCTAGGCATTGTCTTGAACAATAGGAGTAATAATAACATTTATTGAACATTCACTATACAGCTAGACTCTTGGCTAGGTGTATCAGCCACATTGCCTGTAATCCTGACAGTAATTCTGTAGAATAGGTAGATTTTACAGATAGGGAATCTGCGGCTCAAAGTGATTAAGGTGCCCACAGCTAGTTCACTTAATGATTAAGTAAGTTGCACACTTCATCCATGGCCGAAATGGATTTGAACCCTGGTTTGTCTGTCTCCAAAGCTTAAGCTAAGATCCTCTCACTTAAGGTAAATAAAATTCAGAGAATTAAGTGACTAGCCCAAGGTAACACAGGCTTTTAACCTCTGATGCTGGATCAGGGCTGTTGCTATCCCACCTCATTGCTCTCTCAGAGTGCAGCCCCACAAGAGCTAATGGAACTGTCTACACCCATTTGAAACATTGTGGTCTATACCATGGACTCCAGGTCTTCCTTATGGCCTGTTTTCTCGTCTTCCTTAGGTGTTTATTGAATACCTGGTGGGTCGATGGCCTTCTATAAATGCAGGCTTTTGTGGGGAGTGAGAAAGGGGACTCTGAGCTCTCTTCTCCCATCACCTGTTCCAAGACATTCCTTTCTTTCCAGTTAGAAAAATGCAAATAGTGAACTAACTTGAAATGGCCTACTAACTTGAAATAGCTTACTTACCCACTAGATTTTTTATTTTGTTTTGTTTTTGAGGTAAGATCTCACTTTGTCCAGGCTGGAGTGCAGTGGCACAATCATAGCTCACTGCAGCCTCGAACTCCCGAGCTCATGCGATCCTCCTGCCTTGGCCTCCCAAAGTTCTAGGATGACAGGTGTGAACTACCGCATCTGGCCACCAGAAAAAATTTTAAAAATAGTGTGATTATTAGCCAAGGAAATTGCAGTGAATTTTATTTTGAGATTTTTCTCTTAAGAAATTTGTGACACCACCATAAATTAGAGATCGGGAACCTGTAGTTGATATGTTCAAGGGGCTATATACGATTACTGGCTGCCTTCCTGTGAAAAAGCTGGAGAAGTGGCTACTAGGAAGATCCAGTTTATTATACAGAAATCAAGGGCCCAAAGGATGGGGGATTATGGCCAAGATGGCAGGCACTGGATGGAGAGCACACAGATGTCTCGAATGAGATTCTGTGGTATTATTTCTTGAACTGCACTGGTGCTTTATTATCTAAACCCAGCAGCTACTTTCTTGGGGAACTATACTTCCCTGCCACTCCCTCGACCAAAATTCAAAGAAAAAGAATCCCAGAGTTTCTCTTCCTCTTAGGATGGTGCTGTATCCAGGAGAGGAAAAGGTGATTGGACCCTGTCTGAGCCGAACATGATTGTCCTGGGCTTGTCACTGTGGGCTCAGATCCAGGTTCTGTTGTCATCCAAGGAAAGGGACTTACATTTGAATTCCTTGCAAGCCAAGGGGATGGAAGGGTGTTTAGGAAGTTCATGGCTTTCACTAACCCCAGCGAACCTGAGCATGTGATCTGTGGATCATCCGTCTTCTACCTTGGACCTTTCCTGTGTTCAGGTCATCGGTCACTCTCACCTTGTCTACCAGGGCTGCACCTGGGGACTCATTCTGTAACAAGAGGCAGCTCACCTCTGCATTTTGAGAAGAAAACAGCCTGATGAAAAAGGCTTAATCCCTCTTGCCCATGGGATAGAAAGTGAGGTGACTCCACTACAAGAAGTAAGGGATGGAGTCTCCTGGCACAAGGTACCTGGTTCTGCCCCTGAATCCAAACCTTGGGGCAAAAAGTTTTTTGTTTTTTTTAAATATATCCATAAGTGATGGTGCTGTGCAGCTTAGACTCCAGGGCTTCATATAAATAATGTAGAATTAGCCATATTCTCCACTAAACAATGCAGAAGAAATTCAGCTTTCCCAGAGGATGTTAAGAATAAGCATTGCTACTTATTTCATTAGAAATCTAAGCTGCACAAAACCAGAAGATAAGCCTTGGTCCTCTGAAGAAGATAGTCCCAGGCCTTTCCCATCACACTTTCCTGGAGACTTGGTAGCTCAAGGACCATCTCTGTACCAAGTGCAAAAGGAAATTTGGAAAACAGCATCAAATATGCAGAGTATGATAATTCTTGGAACAAGATTACCAGGAACAACAATATCAATTTGCAAATGTGCCCGGCCTGGTAATTGGGCGTGGGGGGTGAGGGGTAGGCGAGCATCATTTCGCACGTGCAGCTGTTCCACTTCATTAGGGCTCGGGTCTAGACGGAATACAGTCATCTGGGAGTCTGCAGGAGGGGAAGTGGGTCTCCTTCCCAGCCAGCCGGCCCCTGTCTCAGGCTGAGCTCATTTCATCTGCGCATGTTAAACAGGGAGCGGGCACTGCAATGAGACGTAGCCTTGGCCGTGGAAGTCCCAGTTAACAATAGCAGGCTCACACCTGCTCGCCACTGATGCTGGAACCTTCAAGTCGTGGGCTCAGTGCCCTGCAGCAGTGAGGTGATGAAGCTGGCTCTTGTACCCCGACTGCATGAATACGTGGCAGGAGGGGGGAAAAAATCATTAGCTGCATGTGCATTTTCAAAGCTGTTTCATTTCTCAGCCATCTAGAACTCCAGTACAGTAATTAAGGACCTGTGTTAAGCCGCTGGGCCTTTTGTATTTAACAGACGTGACTTAGCCCAGATTTTCACCCGTGCATGCGACCTGGCTCTAAAGTTTAGAATGAGTCTTGGCTCAGCAAAAAGTTTGAAATTTGAGCTGAACCAAAGGTCTGTGCAAAGTTTGAGAGCCAAAATCTGAGTGCAAGACCCCTGAAAATGAAACAAGGGTGGAGGTGGGGGCCAGGAGGGGGGGAGTGGAGAAGATGAGGATGGAGAAGAAGCCTCCCCTCTCCCCACGTTGTCTGCCCCGTCCCCCCCCTGCAGCACCGTGGCATGATCTCAGGCCCAGGGCTCCTGAGGTTGGTTAACATGCGCCCTGCACAGCCCTCTATGTTGCAGGGCGCTGAGGAAGCTGTGTATCTTCTTGCCAGAGGCCCAGCACACTGATTTTGAAATGCATCCAGCCCAGTTTCCATTTACTCTGCTCCTTCATTTACATCTCTGTGCAAAATGTCAGCAGCTCAGACCAGAGCTCTGGGCCCAGAGTGTTTGCTGGACCCAGGCCTTTGATACTCCTGAGAAAGGAGGGGGCCTCAAAAACACTTCCCAGGCCCCCTCGGCAGCTGAGCTGTCTGCATTTGTACAATACCTGCAAGCCAGCTCTGGATGGCTCTGCAACACCATATGGCAACAGCCGAAATGACAAGAGCAGTCACTATAGCAACCTTTCCCATTGTGCTCGCCGTGGGCTAGGCCTGGTGCTGAAAGCCACCCCTACTGTATTTCATTTGATCCTTACAGTGGTCCTGTGTGGAAAGATCTATCACTGCCCCTGTTATTCAGAGCAGAAAACAGGCTTTGGGACAAATACCGTTGATCCTCATTATTCGTGGAGTCCATATTTGTGAAATCACTGACCCACTAAAATTTATTTGTGATTCCAAAGTTAACACTCGCAGCACTTTCCATTCATTTGTAGACATGCACAGGGCAGGGAAAAATTTGAATCGCCGTGTGGACGTTTCCAGCTGAGGTGGAACAAAGCAACACTCTCCCATCTTGTTTCAGACCTCACTCTGGAAGCAAGGAGGCTTTTCTGCAGTCTGTTTATTTCCTTGATGCATGATATTTGCCTATGTTTACGGGGTATATGTGAAATTTTGTTACATGCATAGAATGTGTAGTGATCAAGGGAGGGTATTTAGGGTACCCATCACCTTCAGTATTTACCATTTCTCTGTGTTGGGTACATCTCAAGTCCTCTCTTCTATTTTGAAATATACATTGTTGTTAACTATAGTCACCGTACTGTGCTACTGTTCACTACAACTTATGCCTTCAATTGAACTGTGTGTTTGTACCCATTAATCAACCTATCCTCACCCACCCATATACCCCTGGTATTATCATTCTACTCTCTACCTCCATGTCACCAACTTTTTTAGCTCCCACATATGAATGAGAATGTGCAATATTTGCCTTTCTGTGCCTGGCTTATTTCACTTAACATCATGACCTCCAATGCCATCCATATTGCTGCAAATGACAGAATTTCATTCTTTTTTATGGCCAAATAGTATTCCATTGTGTGTATATACCACATTTTCTTTATCCTTTCATCTATTGACAGATATTTAGGTAGATTTCATATCTTCGCTATTGTGAATAGTGCTACAATAAACATGGGAGTTCGGGTATCCCTTTGATATATGGATTCCTTTTCCTTTGGATAAATATCCAGTAGTGGAATTTCTGGATCATATGGTAGTTCCATTTTTAGTTTTTTGAGAAATCTCCATACTGTTTTCCAGAACGGCTGAACTGATTTATATTCCCACCAATAGTGTATAAGAGTTTCCTTTTCTCTGCATTCTTGCCAGCATGTCATTTTTTGTCTTTTTTAATAATACTCTTCTAACTTTGGTGAGATGATATTGTAGTTTTGATTTGCATTTCCCTGATGATTAGTGATGTTGAGCATTTTTTTTCATATACCTGTTGGCCATTTTTATGTCTTCTTTTGGGAATTGTCTATTCATGTCTTTGCCAATTTTTAATGGGATTATTTATTTACTGTTGAGTCCTTTGTATATTCTGGATATTAGTCCCCTGTCACATTAATAGTTTGCAAATATTTTCTCCCATTCAATTGGTTGTCTCTTCACTCTGTTGATTGTTTCTTTTGCTGGGCAGAAGGCTTTTAATTTAATATAGTCCCATTTGTCTATTTTTGGTTTTGTTGCCTATGTTTTTGGATTCTTAGCCATAAAATCTTTGCCTAGACCAATGTCCTGCCAAGTGTTCTCTGTTTTCTTCTAGTAGTTTTAGAGTTTCATTCAGGTCTTATGTTTAAATGTTTAATCCATCTCGAGTTGATTTTTGTATATAGTGAGAGATAGGAGTCCAGTTTCATTCTTCTGCATATGATTATCCAATTTTTGCAGTACTATTTGTTGAAGAGGAGTTTAATGAGATTTAATGAGACGCTGTAAGAAAACTGCATAGTTGGCATGGTGCCTCACACATTTAGGAGCCAGTATCTGTTTGGGAGTGAAAAGGTAACAATGATGTCCTTCCCCCCATCCACAAAAGGCAGACAGTAGCTAGCCAACCACTGAGTATTTATGTGCAAGACTCTTTTTTTGAGAACTCCTCCCAAATTACCTTTTAAATAAGTGAACACTGTCATTTAAAAACCTAGTACAGTTTGGTAGGCTAGAATAGGAAAGATCCTGAAACAATGCCCTTTAGACATGTATTCCAAAATCATTTTTGTTTGTATAATGGGAAGCAGTGTCTGGGTAAAATGTATTTCTCTTTTATTTCCATTCTGCCTCTATAATAAAGAGATTACTAAATTAAGGTGTGATCCACCCCTGCCCCCAATTAGCTTCAAAAGAATTTCCTCAGAGGCTGAACTCTTAGATGCCAGGTTTCATGCTGAGAAGGTTTGCATAGCCGCAATATAAATAAATCTCTGTGAAAAGGTGCTTGCAATAGAACTTCTAAAAACATCACTCCTTAGCATTGTGATGCTTCATAAACTCTGCTTCATAATCATTCCAAAACAGCAGCCCGAAGGAAGGGTTATTTTGGGATTGTTGCAGGATAATATTTTTTATAGATAGATATGAGATGCCTTTCTTTTCAGGATTACACAGCGATCCTTGCCTTTCTATAACAAATGCATGGGTGAGGCTGTATAATATTCACTTGAGAGAGGAGGTCACTTAACCATCTTCAGTCCCTTTCAGTTTAATTACAGGGCAACTGAGGCCTGGCAGAGGGCCATGATGGCTCAAGACTCTCCAGCTAAGCGGCAGCTGGTTGAGGATAAGAGTTGCAGGGATCTTTACATGGCTGGCACCATCTTTAGTGCAAGAAGAGACAGAAGAGTCAAGAAAGACATAGCTGGGTAGATTCCCCAGGCACTCTTCCTACAGAGGAGCCTGAGATCGTCCATCTTGTTTATTCTTATCTTTAATTCAGAGGGTGCTTTTGGGCAGGCATTTTGGGTTCCCTGTTTCCCAAACAGCTTTCTGTTTTCTTTCAGCTACTGTGACTCACCTTGGAGGAAAAGTCTGTGGCTACCACATAGCGCCACAAGAATCAACCTTGCAGTTCATGTCAGCTAGTAGGCATTTCATGTACCTGGATCTAGAAACTAGGGCAGCCTAAGAGAACTCCACCAATCCTAAAGGTTTAGGGCCAGCCCCTGAGATTCCCTAAGAAGGGAGCAGACCAATAATCAAACCCATCCGCTGTCAGGTCGCTCATGCTCCAGGTGAGAGGGATGGGAGTGAGGCTGATTCCTGAGTAAATTTTCATATGTTTTGCCTATTTTTTGATTGGGTTGTTTCTCTTTGTATTATTGAGTTGTGAGAGTTTTTTGTAAATTCTAGATGCAAGTCCTTTATCGGATATATGTTTGGCAAATATTTTCTCCCAATCTCTTACCTGTCTTTCCATTTTCTTAATGATGTCCTTAGAAGGACAAAAGTTTTGGATTTTGAAGTTAAGTTTCTGAAATTTTTTTCTGTTATGTTTGATGCTTTTGGTGTGGTATTTGCCCAACCCGAGGTCTCAAAGATTGCCTTCTATCTTTTCTTCTAAAATGTGTATAATTTAACTCTTACACTTAAGTCTGTGTGATCCACTTTGAGTTAATTTTTGTGTAGGGAAAGGGGTTAACACATTGACTGCCACATTAGAAAAAAGAAAATTTTCACTCCCGGGGGCCACAATGTTTTATTATGAAAATAGAAAAAAAAAACTTCGAAAACAAAACAATCCTAATTGACTGAAAAATTTGTTGTTTTTTATTGTTTTCTCTGTGTGAGTTATATGCAACTCACATGGCGCTGGAATCCATTTTTACACTGAACATCAATTGAGTTGTATGTGACTCATGACATACTCATTGAATTGACTTCGGAGAATTGAGTCTCCATATGCTTTCACAAGGCCCCGGGTTCAAAACTAGCGTGAGTTAAATACAACTCACACGGCAGTTAATGTGTTGATTAGACCATTTTTTGTGGGTGGAGACCCACATGTTCCCACACCATTTATTGGACAGAACCACAGTTTCCACTCTTGTCTTCACTTCTCCTTTTTCCCCACAGATCTGCAAAACCCCTGAGCCCAAAACGGCCTCCTACTGCAGCCCGTCCGTGCCCGTGCACTTCAACATCCAGCAGGACTGCGGCCACTTCGTCGCCTCGGTGCCCTCCAGCATGCTCAACTCTCCCGACGCTCCCAAGGACCCCGCGCCCGCCCCGCCCTCACAGCCACCTGCCCAGGAGCAGGACTGCGTGGTGGTCATCACCCGGGAGGTGCCCCACCAGACCGCCTCCGACTTCGTGCGGGACTCGGCGGCCAGCCACCAGGCCGAGCCCGAGGCTTACGAGCGGCGCGTGTGCTTCCTGCTCCTGCAGCTCTGCAACGGGCTGGAGCACCTGAAGGAGCACGGCATCATCCACCGCGACCTGTGCCTGGAGAACCTGCTGCTGGTGCACTGCGCGCCACCCGCGGCTCCTGCCACCAACGCCCCTCCGGCGCCCGCCCCCGCGGCCCAGGGCCCCTCTGCCGCCGTCCCCGCCGGGGCCGTGCCCGGGGAGAAGCAGCTGCCCCGGCTCATCATCAGCAACTTCCTGAAGGCCAAGCAGAAGCCGGGCGGCACCCCCAACCTGCAGCAGCAGAAGAGCCAGGCCCGCCTGGCCCCCGAGATCGTGTCCGCCTCCCAGTACCGCAAGTTCGACGAGTTCCAGACGGGCATCCTCATCTACGAGCTGCTGCACCAGCCCAACCCGTTCGAGGTGCGGGCCCGGCTACGGGAGCGGGACTACCGGCAGGAGGACCTGCCCCCGCTGCCCGCGCTGTCGCTCTACTCGCCGGGCCTGCAGCAGCTGGCGCACCTGCTGCTCGAGGCTGACCCCATCAAGCGCATCCGCATCGGCGAGGCCAAGCGTGTGCTGCAGTGCCTGCTGTGGGGGCCCCGGCGCGAGCTGGTGGAGCCCCCCGCCGCCTCGGAGGAGGCGCTGTGCGGCACCCTGCACAACTGGATCGACGTGAAGCGGGCGCTGGTGATGATGAAGTTTGCGGAGAAGGCGGTGGACCGCAGGCGGGGCGTGGAGCTGGAGGACTGGCTTTGCTGCCAGTACCTGGCGTCCGCGGAGCCCGGAGCCCTGCTCCAGTCGCTGAAGCTCCTGCAGCTGCTGTGAGCCAAGCCCTGGCCTGCCCCTCCCCTGTCGGGCCTCCCTTCTACCTTGCCTTGGAAGCATCCGTGTCTCCCTGGGAAATGGTACAGATGACTGGCATACTTAGATGTAATATATATATATATATATAATATATAAATATGAAAGCCTCTGGCCTCCCCTCCTTGCCAAGTCTTCCCGAGTTTTCTCCTGTAATTATGTACATTCCCAGTTCCCTGCAAGGTCCTGAGGACAGTTCTGCCAACAGAATGAAGCCTGGACTCTGGCCTCACTGCCCTGTTTTGGAATCTCTTCACCCTTTTGTCAAATTGTTAATAAAAAAAAAAAAGAAAAAAACTCCATTTAAAAAAATTTTAAATTTTATACCCAAGTGCCTATGTGCATTATTAACGTCTTTGTGGGTAAAATGGAATATAAACTTCTGCAACAGTGGCCAGGCTCACTCGAAGTGTCCTTGGTCCTGCATGTCTCATGAGATAGAGCAGCTGTCTATTAAGGTCCAGGCATGTGGGTACCAGTCAATCTTCCCTGCTTCTCTTCCCACCCTAGCAGCCTTCTGGAAAGAATCCAGACACAGCTGCTGTGATCCAATGAATACGGTGGTTTAGAATTCAAGCCCACTGCTCCAAACCCATTTCCAGTTTGCTAAAGCTGGTCACCATTCGTATCAGACAGAGAGCTGGCTGGAAACAGAATCCACCCCGATGTTTCACATGAAAAGACGTTAAAGCGACCACTTTGACCTCAAGAGCACCAATTAGTAAGGCGTGGGCAGGGTTAAGAGAACAAAGGAAGATGAACCCAAAGCGAGGGCCAGGACAGCAGAACGAAGGCCACCTGTGTGAGGTATCTGCAGCGAGTTCTCTATAGCCAGAGATGGTTCTGCCTGTTTTCTACCTGTCTCTCCAAGCTTCTGGGGACAGCAGGGGAGCTTGTGGGATGCATTTTGAAAGATCAGCCTCTAGGGGCCAGAAGAAAGGTAGACCATGAATGAGGCAAGCAGCCCCCTTTCCTAGTGGCCTGGATAATTGCAGTGCAAAAAGAGAACTCAGGTGTTCCAACTCCCAAACCAGTACTCTCTCTGCTGTTCTAAGCTCCTTGAGGTCTCTTTTAACACATTTATCGGCACCTACTATCTACTGTAGTCAGTATTTGTTCCCACTCCTTTAAAAATGCACAACGAGAATAAGGAGGTACCCCATCTTTCCTCCTTCAAACGAAACACACACCCACAAAAAGCCAGACATTACCTATTGGAAGAGAAATAGCCCCAAGACCTTTGTATTTCTACCTAAGAGGTAATTTTCCCACTGGCAAACTAATTAATTTCTAAAACCTTGTTAATAACTGTGGACAATTTAAAACAAATGCAGCGATCTTCATGGATGTCCTAAACATCTAGGGATGCTGTTAGCAAGCAGGACTGGGGAACTCTCCCAGGTGCCTTTCTGCATATTAATGTCACTGTTCTACAAGTTCTGCCTTCCAGCCTCTGACTGCGTGTAAACACATCTACATTTCCATGCATCGGTGGTGAAGACAGCACCTGGAGGCACGTTTGTAATTTCAGTTGTTGCTTGAGCATTGAGGGAAGAGCTGGCTAAAACCAGCTCCCAACTCTGTTTGTACAAGAGAAAAAAAAAGGAGTCTTTGAATATGGAAATAGTAATTCTCCCTAGGACCTATCCGTTTCAGAGAGTATTATTTTGTCAGTTGTTAGTTCCTTGGAATTTTCCAGGCAAACCTTCTGCCCTCAATTTGCTGTCTTTTGCTTTCTTGTCCTTTCTCACTGCAAGTAAATAAATAATGGGGAGGAAAGGGGAAACCTTCTGCCAAGGGAATGCAGTGCCATTTGGAAACACATATCTCAGGAGGCGCGTTTTTAATCCCTGAATTAATTGCACCTTTTTTATATGCCACCCACTTCAGCAAAAAAATAATTGAGCTTGTAAAAACAGTTTTCAGAACCAAAATGAACCAAGAAGTAAAGGTGGAAAAAGAAGAAACTATAGCAATAAATTCTAATTGGGAAGAATGAGAGCAATTAAACATAAAATTGACTTCTCAGCTGCCTACCAGCCTAGAAAAAGAAAAACAACTGGTTGCAGCATTCTGTGTGTGTAGTTTTAGGAAACAGTTCAGCTCATCAGGAGGAAAAAAACCTTTGCCCAGTGCTTGGTTCTGAAGGAAATTTGTCAAGGATTCTTTGTTTTGAAGGCATTGAATAATATCCCAGTAGCAGTTTAAAAAAGAAAAAAAGGAACCATTTTTTTTAAAAAATATAGGGCAATTTGTTATATTACCATTGGTGAAATCCAAGTGTGTAGCATTCAAGCCTTGTTCCATCGAGTGCTTCCATAGAGCAATTGTCACCCATTCATTTCTATGGTTTTGCCTTTGCCGTAAATGATTAGCCATGTGGCTACAAGTACTATATTCGGCAAACAACTTCAGTCCCACTAAATTCAGAGGCTCAATATAACTGTTTTTTGTTGTTGTTACCAAAAAATACACCTGGGACGCACAGCTTTATCTTACAGAAAGCTCTAGCACAAAATAGATTTAAGTCCAGAAACAATAGTTTGTTCTGCAGACGGACGTTAAAAAAAAAAAAAAAAAATCAGGTCGCATAGCACCTGGCTATTTAATATTCCTGCTGTCCATGAGCTCATCTCCCCTTTTTTCTTGGCTTTAAACCCAACTACTGGTATTTGAATCTCCAATGTTTCTTCTCTCCAGCTCTGAATCAAGTCGCCCCCATATCTTTTCCACATATGTAATTTTTGTTGTTAAAGGGCCTTTCTCATTTTCATACCAAGATGCGGAAACTTTTTTCTTCTCCTAATTTTTTTTTAATGTAGGCGTTATGAAGCTTCACATCTAAATTGTTACGTCCTTGCCAGAAGCCAGAGAGGCACTTCTGGGATTATTTATTTATCGTAACATATGGCTCAGATCTAAAAAGACTGGGCTCCAGGGAGCTGTAGTTACCACTTTATATAACACTTTCTGGTTTCCAAGAGCTTAGGGCTGAAGAAAACTCTTTTGAGATGTACACATGTACACAAAACAATTAGGAAGAGTTTGAAGAGGGAAGACACATGTTACTTTAATGAGTTCTCTGAAGTTTGCTCTTTAAATACATAACCGATAAATGAGGCAGCCCTTTCTCTGCCGAATAACTCAAAATCTTTGGAGAGCTAAGGACGAGCTTGCCAAATCTCTCTAAAAGTAGCACATTTGTAACGAAAATCCACTTGCCATCTTAAAGAGGAGGCTGTGGATGGAATCGATTCATTAGAAACCAGAACTTAACCCAGCTGATGTCATTGCTGAAAATAAAAGACAAGAATGAAATGTTTGGGCCATGGAGTAAATGTCTCTACAAATCACTCTTTCTCTTTTCCAGGGCTCATTAATACAGGCAAAGGGGCAGCCTGTGTGTCAGGGATGTCTTAGGAAGAGGACTTGCACCCCGGAAAAGTGGTCAGGCCTGATAGGTTCCAGGAAAGGAGTCCAAATTAACCCCAAAATGATATCGTTTATGTAGGGGAAACTGGGGTTGGGCTAGAACTTCTCTGACCACCCAGATCCTCACTGGATCTTGGATACTCAGTCTTTCCTCTTCTGGATCTTTCTTCCCAGGACTTGACTACACCCATTCCAAGTTTATATGGGGGAAGCAAAGGACTTTTCTTCACGCCAGTAGGCTCACTTGGTAGTAGGCCATCTCCATAAAGATTTAGACATATACACTGGTCACATATTCTAAATGCTGGATTCAAACTTTCCAGTTCTTTTACCAGAGGTGATCACAGCTATTTCCTAAAACACACCATCCTGGACAGCAGATGTGCTTAGATTGTCAAGACTTTTACGTGGTATGATGGACTTAAGGATTGTCCTTCAGACTCCTGCCCTTCTGCCTCGTGAGGGGTGATCAGGTATGGATACAGGTTGAAGGAATGGAATTCGGAGTTCTATGGAGGGAAGAGAAGGCAGGAAATGACGGACGCAAGATTCAGAGACAAACCTCTTTACCACGAGGTGCCTGGCTCCAGCTCTGATAACATCCCACAACCCTGAAAGGGTATTCAAGCCGTCACTCCTTTACTGAGATCATACAGACACTTGTGTGTGTCTGTTCTCTTTTCAAAGACCTCCAAGGGTGAGGATGCTATATCCCCTTTTCTAAATTATGTAGTTCAATTTCAGAGTTTATGGCAGATTCCTTAAACAGTCAGAAAGACTTTAAGAGCCCTTTATTTATATCCTTTATTTATTGGCTATTTTCATCGCCACAATGACATAGACAAGTTTCAATTTTCCTAAAGGAGAAACAGGCATTTTCTGTTCCTTGCCCTTCAGCTTTGTTGGATTTATTTTGAATATGCAAAACATAACACACCACTGAAAGGCAAAACTATTCAAAAAGGTGTACTGGGAGCAGTCACTTCCCAATGCCTTCTACCCAACTCCATTCCTCCCTCTGTGCCCACGTACTCCCCATAGTCAGCAAACTCACCAATTTCTGCTCAATCCTTCTTATATTTGTGCCCAGATGAGCAGACACAAGTATATTCTACTTTCTTACACAGAAATTACTGTACCAGCTTTGCATTTCTTACTTAGCAGTATGTCAACAGGAATGTTCTTAAAAGGAGGAAGCAACTTGACTCCTCCTCTGAGTCAGAGAATTGACGAGGTTTCATCACCCTTTACCCAGGCATTAAAGCATCATTTGCACTGCTTGGAGAGTATTAGCCCGTCAAACTTTTAATGATCCCTTTCTGGTACTGCTCCTTGGTTTTAGGCCTTAGAACAACCCATTTTATTAATATTTCTGTTGGGAGATACAGACTACTTTTCTCTGCAGATGGAAATCCTGAGGCTTGCCTTAAATCGCAGTTGACATCGACAGCAGACCCCTGAGTTCAATGATAAATTCAACCTGAGGCCCTCACTATTCCCTGGAGTGGCATTGCCAGTCTTTGCATTTGAAGCTAAACTTTGCTCTTGCAGCAAACACAACTTGGTGACGACGGTCAGTTCTCAAAGGAAAATTCTTCGAGATGATTTTCCAGAGATGCTGTTTAAGGAAGAACGAGGTTGTGCTGCTCTGTGTCTTGGCTGCTCTATGGCTTCTGTGTGGTCATTTCTTTCCATGACTTTAGAGAGCTGCAATGTAAGCAACAAGGGCTCCACTCACTGAAATTGTTCGTGGGACTTGGAGTCAGCTCTCGAACAATAGAAGCCCTAATGCTGTTGGTCTTGGCCGAGTCTGACATGAGTCATGTGCCGTTTCAAGTACCTGATTGAACATGGGTAGAATGAAGGAGCTCTCTGGGTGTTGGCCAGTGGAACAGTTCCATGTGGAGACGAGGGTTGGGGGAAGAGGGGGCAGGAGCTGGGCTCCTAGCAGGGAAGGCACACAAGGCACAAAAGGCACACAGGGCACAGAGCAGAGAGCGCCTTCCTGGCCAGCACCAGCTACACCCTGCAGCTGGAGTTGGCAGCCTCCTCCCAGCTATGAATCACATATTTGATCGCAGCCTTCACCCTGCAGGCAGGTCTAGCCTGAGCCAGCTGCTGGGCCCTGGCTTGTCACCCAACAGCCCCCTTTGTTTCAACTCTGAAAAGGCACCAGCCCATTAAAGAAAGCACTGGAATGAAGAAATCCAAGGGCAGTGTGAAATGGGGATGGCAGCCATTTATGTCCTTTTGGTAGAGCAACCGTGTCTAAACACCTGCTCGTAAGTGCTCCTGTAAGAGGGCTTTTTACTAGGGTACAGGCCTCTGGGAGCTGCTCTCTGGGGGGGAGCAATTTGTTGGAGGGCTGGGATTGTCACCGTCAAGGGGACAGGCCCTGTGTGGTCTGGAATGTCTCCTTGGTGGTAACTCTAAGTTACCAGGAAGGGGAAGAAAGGATATAGGAGAGAAACACTCAGTATTCCTGGAGCAATGTAAGAGCATGCCGCCAGCCCCGAGAGTGGCCAGAGCTTGGCTCTGTTTGGTTTCTGTGTGTCTGTAAATGGACCCCACTCAGTTTAGCAAACAGAAACTGGCATCGCATCTGGGCCCTTTGTCTAGTTTTCATTCGCATACCCTTGTGGTCTGAGCACCAAAAAGGAATTCATGAACACTGGTGACCTATTGTTCACAGACTCTCTGGGTTGTGCGAACAGAAGTTTTTAGTTTGGTATCTGATGAAAATATTGGAAAACTATGAATAATATAATAATCTCTTTGTTTACCCGCCTTCTCTGCTCCAAAAGACTTAAAGTCCTGGCATTTGAAATATTATTTTACCTTCTTACAACATGTCTCTGCTATATGGAGAAATCTAGGCAAGTAATCTACATCTTGAGAGAAAACTAAGGTCTGGAAAAGTGTGAAGTGTAAATCCAGGACTAGAGTCTAGGCTGTGTGTCTTCCATTCTCTACGAAGTACATGTACCATGTGCATGCCTAGATGTTTACTGGGCACCCATCAGCAACTTGGCTGTCCTTGAACATTCAGCTTAAGCCTTACCCTGCTCTAGAATGCCAGTGGCCCTTTCTCCTCTGTCCTCACTCACTACTGGATCATTCTTGACCTGGGAGGTAGCACTGGTTTTCTTCTTAATATAAACATATTCTTTCTCACTAAGTCAACTGTAAGCCACTTGAGAACAGCGACCATATCCTAACCCACTTCATTGCTCCATTCCTTAGCCCCTTGTATTGTACACAGTAGGTGCTCAATAAATGTTTTGATGACATTTATAATGATGCATAAATGTCTACTTTTCAGACATTTCAGTATTAAAATGTTTTAGTTGCTTAGGAAAAATGATGTCCCACAAATGACACCGATCTTTACAGTTGGCAAAGTACTTTGACATCTCTTCTCTCCCAACAACCCTCTATGTGCACAGTGTCCCCACCTACAGAGCATGATGACAGTGAGCCTTAGAGAGACAAAGTGACCTGCCAGAGTCACTCACCTTATAGCTGGTGAGTGGCAGGACTCAGGCTAGAATCAAAGTCTTCTGTATTCAAATCCAGTGTCCTCTCTACCGCAGCACCGCTTTGCCGTTGTTTCTGGAGAATGTCGTGCCGTCCATTACACATGAATTCAACAGCCTCTATCTCTCGCAATGAAGCTGGTATTTATTTTTCCTATACTGAGCACCTTCCACTGCAAGAGTGACTGCATAGTACTCTATTGTTAACATCAGAAATTAATCAAAAGGACATTTTATATTTCCTTAGCCATGTCATGCTACCTCTCTGCAATGCATAGTGATGAAGTTGAGTTAGTTGTAACAGATGCACCCAAATTTCATTAGAACCATTTTTAATTGAATTACCATAAATGCACTCCCAGAGTGACAGTGCCCCAGAGAGAGAACTATCTACTCCATCCAAGCAAGGGTTCTGCTGCACCACCGACCTGTGGGACTGTCAGAGAGGCATATGGGAGATGTCCAAGGTGCCTGCCCAGTTCGGCCTCTGCAGGCCCTGCCTGAAAACTTCTGGGACTCAACAGTCACTTTCCTGGGTGCCTCCCACCCTCACGCTTGTCAATCTGTGCCCAACCCCTAGCAAGAGTGGTGGACAGAGGGCACGATGCAGTTTCTTTGCTAGACCACTATAAAACACCAAATTCCGTTGTCTACACCAAACTGAGGATGCCTGGGCAGAAATGGAGCAGAAGTCTTCCAATTTCCCAAGCTGTTTATTTTTCACTCTGTATTGAGAGATCTTTCTCCTTAAGGCTGAGGCTGAGTGTTAATAAGACGCCAGTGTGCGGAGACACCTTGGGTTTATAACAAGGCTGTCCTTACACTCCCAGCCACTGAGCCTCCTAAAAGGGGCTCAGGATAGCAGGGTTTGGTGTGGAAAGGCATGCTGGACAGACAGCAATCATTTCAATGTCAGTGATTTTAAAGGAACACCATCACAATTCCTTGAGTAAAAAAATTCCATTTATGGAGAGTTACACTCGCTCTGGGTTTCCCCAAATTTGGATCAGCTTGAAAAGACACACTTCTATTTCTTGGCAATGGTTTACAAGTGACTTCTTTTTATGCTGCTTCCCAATGGTGTGTTTTTTACAGCAGGAATTCAGTTTTCCAAAATAATTCCTCAGTCCTGAGAAATTAATGAATCTCTCCCAGTGTCTCTGATAGCTACAATTGGCGGAATTCAGTCCTTGGCCTGGTTCCGCTCCCTTTTCTGGTCAGAAAGGTCTGTCAAAGTGAGCTAAAGCCTCTGCTGATTATTTCATCAGCCCTAATAAAGGCATGTCAGAGCTCTGCCAAGAAGAATCTGGTTTCAGAAGCAACTTTCCTTTTAAAGTGCCAGGGTAATGGCTCCTGCCCACACTCATGAAGCTCACGTTGCAGGAAGTAAAAATATGATAGCACAGCATCTTGGCAGACAAGCTCGTTCCTGCTGCCCCCCCCCCCCAGCCTCTAGACAAATAGCTCCCTGGGGGAGTGATGTCTACATCAAAAGCTACTTGTCGCTCAGTGGGCCTCCAAGATGAGGAAGTGTTTGTTTTGGCTGAGAACAACAATATTCTCTGTGTCCAGAGCTGGGGGCTGCCTTCAGTGGACTCCTCCCGGCTGCAGTGGGGCAGATTTGTGGTCGCCATGCTTTTCCCAGCTCCCCATCATCCGGAAAGATCTCCAGAAGTTAAGACAATATCACCATTGTTTCAAGGGCCACGGACAAGAACTAAAGATCTCCAAAAATGTGCAGAGGCTACTGGGTATGGCAAAGAGGTCATCGAACCTCTTCTTAGGCTTTTAGCTAAGTTGGTCATATCCAGCTCTTGGTAAAATCTGGGATCTTGAAGTAGGCTGAAATTAGATTTTTTAAAAATAACACATCGGAAGTCAAAATATATAAATTTTACTATTTCACTTGTTCTTGCATATGTAGACCTCCTCAGGAAATTTTCTGCATTCAAAAGTAAAGGAAACATGGGACAAGCCAGAATCCTTGGGTAAAAAGTCGTGTTTTCTCTTTGACAATTGCTGAGCTGCAATGTGATTGCAGCTTTGACAATTGCTGAGCTGCAATGTGATTGCCGTTTGATGTCCCCAGTTGTAAACAATGTCCTTAGTCATTGCTTTTTGGATTGATAGAAACTGTAGCATTGTTTAGCTATTAAGAGTTATGATGATTTCAGAAAGTTGTCCCAAGTGACTTGTACACTCAGGTAAGACTTTCACTGTCAGTTGTGTGCCACCTGTCTGGCATCTTTAGTAAGGAACAGGGCAGTCTGTTTGTCTGTTCAACAGTTGGTGGACATTTGGGTGGTTTCTACTGTTTGTCATGGATGAAACCACTTTCAACATTCATACACAAAGTGATGGCAGTATGCAAAATTAGTCCTAGAGCTAAGTTAGTGTTTGTGTGAACATGTTTTTATCTCTCTTAGGTATATATCTAGGAGTGGAATTGCTGGGTCATCCCTTAGGTTTTTAAAATATTTTCATGTTGTGATTCAGTCCTGCTGTCCCCATTTACAAGATAAGGAAACTCAAGTTCAAGAGGTTGACTTACCTGTGGAAGGGTAGCGTGGTCTAGTCCTATCTTTTGACCTTTAGTTCATTAGATTGGTAGATGAAATCATTGAAAATAGTAGGTTCATTGACTTTTCCAAGATCACCTAGAAGATTTAATGAAGAAAAAGAAAGTGATCTTGGATTTACAATATTCTTTCTCCAAGTCCTAGAAAGTAACTGGGGGCCTGAGTTTCTTTAGCTTTTAGACTGGACTCAAGTCAGAGAATGAAGTGTTTTATAACTGCCAATTTCTAAGCAATGCTTGAAGTGTCCAAGGCACTGTGAAGGGGAGACATTTTTAAAGATAACCACACAAAAACTAAGTTCAAGACAAGGTCTCTTTATTCCCAGCCTTCACTTTACTGTCACATTAATTAAACTGCATGGTTCCCTCTGCTTTCTGCAGGCATTACACATTTAAGTCTTGATGAGTTGCTTGTCTTTAGTGAAACAAGAACTTTATACATTTCCTTATGATTTATTTATTACGTTTCTTGTAGTACCTTCTGCTTAAGAGCTCAAGATGCTGGTTGTGTAATCTTTAGGATGTTATTTTTATCATAAACTTTTCTAAGCATCTTAACGTTGGCTGAAATATCAGCGGGAATGGTTCCCAGCGTAGCTACAGAGAAAATACAACAAAGAAATTATATGACATAAATGCAAGCTATAAATATAAAAGTCAGCATGAACTATAATGGAGAAATGATGATGTAAGGTGCAAGGAGAGCACACAGGAGGAAAAACCAAATTTTGATCAGTAAAGAGAAGATCTGGGGAAGATCACAGAGGAAGTGATATTGGAAGTGAATTTTGAAGGATAATTGGAAGTCTGCAAGTTGGACAAGATTGGGAAGGATGTTTTCTTTTTAACAGTTGTTGAGGTATAATTGATATATATAATAAACTACATATATTTAAGGGTGAGTAAATTTGATAAATAAAAAAGTTAATAAGTTTTTTCAGCCTGGGCAACATAGCAAGACCCCATTTTTTTTTTTTTTGAGACAGAGTCTCACTTTGTTGCCCAGGCTAGAGTGAGTGCCATGGCATCAGCCTAGCTCACAGCAACCTCAAACTCCTGGGCTCAAGCAATCTTCCTGCCTCAGCCTCCTGAGTAGCTGGGACTACAGGCATGCGCCACCATGCCCGGCTAATTTTTTCTATATATATTAGTTGGCCAATTAATTTCTTTCTATTTATAGTAGAGACGGGGTCTCGCTCTTGCTCAGGCTGGTTTTGAACACCTGACCTTGAGCAATCCGCCCACCTCGGCCTCCCTGAGTGCTAGGATTACAGGCGTGAGCCACTGCGCCTGGCCTAAGACCCCATTTTTATAAAATATTTTTTTTAGAAATCAGTTAGGTGTGATGGCACACACCTGTAGTCCCAGCTACTCTGGCGGCTGAGGCAGGAGGATCACTTGAACTCAGGAGTTCAAGACCAGCCTGGGCAATGTGGTGAGACCTTGTCTCTAAAAAAAGAAAAAAGGAAAGGAAAATGTTGATACAAATCTCTAAATGTAATATTTTATTTGGGAAGAAAGAATTGCAATTCTGGGCATACACACAGATTGGATGGTCTTCAGTATGTCTGAAGAACAAAGAGAAGGTTAGATGTTTTATAAAAAAGGAGAAATGTTACATATTGCTCTTTGAGAAAGTTCATTGGCCCCAGTAAAGGTTTGGAGAGCTGGCAAGCTCTGATTTGTGAATGACAGCAGTTGGCAAAATTAGTCCAAGAGCTGCAGCCAGTTATCTCAGAAGCTATAGATAAAACTGGTTTCAGGTTGCAACAAGCAGTTTCAGCTGTCGGGCTTGCAGAGAATGACATTCTTGCAGCAATGTTTTGTACCCTTTTCCCCCTGGCTTCTCTGCTCTGTTTTAGTTAGGTATGACAAGAATGACCCAATTCTTATGATCAACTTTCACATCTGTTGTAGAGATCTGTGATTAGTGATCTTTTATGTTACTACGGTCATTGTTTTGGGGCATCACAAACTGTACCCATGTTAGACAGCAAACCTAATCAATAAATGTCATGTGTGTTCTGACAGCTCTGCCGACCAGTTCCATCTCTCTCCCTCTGTTCTGCCATCCCTTCTCCCTAAGACACAACAAGACTGAAATTAGGCCAACTAATAAATCTACAATGACTTCTAAGTGTTCAAGTGAAAGGAAGCATTGCACGTCTCTCTATTTAAATCAAAAGCTAGAAATGATGAAGCTTAGTGAAAAAGACATGTCAAAAGCCAGGTCAGGCCAAAATTAGGCTTCTTGTGCCAAATAGTTAGCCAATTTGTGAAATCAGAGGAAAAGTTCTTGATGGAAATTAAAAGTGCTACTCTAGGGAATGTATGAATGATAAGAAAGTGAAACAGCCTTATTGCCGATACAGAGAAAAGTTTGAGTGGTCTGGATAGAAGATCAAACCAGCCATAGCATTTCCTAAAGCCAAAGCCTCATTCAGAGCAAGGCCCTAACTCTCTTCAGTTCTGTGAAGACTGAGAGAGGTGAGGAAGCTGCAAAAGAAAGGTTCGAAGCTAACTGACATTGGCTCATGAGGTTTAAGGACAAAAGCCATCTTTCCATAACATCAAAGTTCAAGGTGAAGCAGCAAGTGCTGATGGAAAAGCTGCAGCAAGTTATCCAGGAGATCTATCATAGCTAAGATAATTGATGAAAGTGGCTGTTTTCAATGTAGATGATGCCATCTAGAATTTTCATAGCTAGAGAAAAGAAGTCAACACCTGACTTCAAACCTTCAAAAGACAGGCTGACTCTCTTGTTAGGGATTAGTGCAGCTGGTGACTTTAAGTTGAAGCCAATACTCATTTACCATTCTGAAAATCCTAGATAGCCAAATACGCCAGAAGTGAAAAAAAAATAAAAAGAAATGAAAATCCTAGGGCTCTTAAGAATTATGCTAAATCCACTCTCCCTGTGCCCTACAAATGGAACAAAAAAGCCTGGATAATGGTACATCTGTTCGCAGCATGGTATACTAAATATTTCAAGCCCACTGTTAAGACCTACTGCTCAGAAAAAAGATTTCTTTCAAAATATTGCTGCTCATTGACAATGCACCTGGTCACCCAAGAGCTCTGATGGAGATGTACAAGGAGATTAATGCTGTTTTCATGTCTGCTAACACAATATCCATTCTGAAGCCCACGGATGAAGGAGTAATTTTGACTTTCAAGTCTTATTATTTAAGAAAGGCATTTTGTAAGGCTGTAGTTACCATAGATAGTGATCCCTCTGATGGATCTGGGCAAAGAATTGAAAACCTTCTGGAAAGCATTCACCATTGTAGATGCTGTTAAGAATATTCTTGACTCATGGGAACAGGTCAAAATATCAAGACTAAGAGAAGTCTTGCTCTGTCCTTCTGGGTGGAAAACAGTGGTGTCATTGTAGGTCACAGCAACCTCAAGCTCCTGGGCTCAAGTGATCCTCCTGCCTCAGTCTCCCAAGTAGCTGAGACTACAGGCATGTGTGCACCACACCTGGCTAATTTTTCTATTTTTAGTAGAGACGAGGTTTCAGTCTTGCTCAGGCTGGTCTCAAACTCCTGACCTCAAGTGATCCTCCTGCCCTGGACTCCCAGAGTGCTAGGATTATAGGCATGAGCTACCATACCTGGCCTATGAGAGATTATTCTTAGGCCTGTCCTTTCTGAGTCTGTGCTCCTTCCTAAGCACAGCTTCAAACCTGAAGTCCTAACCCGGCAGCTAAAGCCTGGAATTTCTCCTCCACACCTGCTGTGTCCTGGCCATTTATGAGATCACCCCACGTCTTGCTTAAGCATAACCCCGAACTCTAGTGATGTTTTATTGCAATGCCACTGCTGTTTGAGGGGCTATGTTCCTTCTGTATCCTTTTGGGAGATGACAAGAGTTACTGTTAATGCCATTGAAAATAAGGAAGAAACCAGAAGACATCATCAGGTCAATGCATCATCTGGTTTACACAACTCAGAAGCCACATAAAGACCTACATTTTAAGTGTTCTATTCAAAGTATCATAAGAATAGACCTTGTTATGTTCTTTGAACCAATCTAACCTTTTCCATTGCCCTTCAGAGGGTTTATTATTCTACTTGTGCTGGGACTTTCAGCATGGACCCACGAACATGGAGAAGAGATGCCCTCAGCCCCACCCCTGCCCCACAGCCACATTTTGCCTTCCTGGCTGAAGGGGAGGGTCCCTTGGCAGCCTATTTTCACCACCCAGGTATCTATAACCAAGAAAATGTCCTGTTGTCCTACACAGGATCCCAACAGGGGAACAGAGTCGCACATCCCTGCCCTGGTGATCTGCCCCTCTTGGTACACAGACCCTCTGAGTAAGGTTCGTCCTGCAGGTCTCTGAGAAGATGTGATTGGCTGAGTTCCCAGGAAAACTGGCTGCTCTTAGAAAGCAGGTGTGGAGGGGAGGCAGCAAGCCAGCAGTGGCGGTGAACTGGTGCCCTGAGTGTCCCTGCTGCCTTCTGGGGCGGTGGCGACTGTTGACGTCATCCTGATGGAATGCCTCTGGGTAACCCTCCCTCCCTGTGGAGGTCAGTGAGTCAGAGGGCAGGAGAAGCTCTGCATAGACGTGAGCAAAACTGTGCACCAGGGAGCAAAGCGGGTTGGCCCTCCACCCCTGACAGAGATCAGGAGATTAGTCACCCTGTGCTGCTCGGGGCACAGAGCAGGACTCTCCGTACAAGGTATCATGTGCAGGGGGGTCCAGCGCATTCTCTTCTTCAGACAAATTGAAACTTCCAGTTGCTCTGTGGATCCAGGCTCCTTGGGAGCAAGTGAAAGGAAGCCCCTTGTCTACACCAGCAACCTCTAGAAGGAAGGGGCAGTCTGTCCAGAGGTGACAAGGTGAGGCAGTGTCTTGCCCCTGGCACAGGAGAGGTGATCCACAAATACCGATTCAGTGAGAGGAAAAATGGGAGGTCTGCCTTTGCACCACTTTCCAGAGATCTCGCTCTCAAACCCTTGCAGAGTCATGTTTTCCTAAGAGAATGGATTAGAACTCAAAACAGTGTTCGCTGACTCAGAAATGGCACTGATGGTTCAGCACCTCCAAAGATAAGATGCTGGCAGCTAAGACTATAGTGGCCCTAATGGTGGAATTTGGCCTGTGGCCAAAAAGAGTAGTTTCCAGAGAGGTGGCACAGGTCTTGCTGAGAGATCGCCACAGTGGTGCTGAGGCCCCAGGCCAGGGGGGGAGGCTGGTGGGACCCCCAAATGGAGCTGGGCAGGTAGGCTACTTGGAGCCCTGGCGTGGTGGCCTGGGGTCTAAAGCCACTGCTGGGAGCAGAGCAGAGCATGCAACACAGTGTCTAGAGACGAGGACAGAAGCCTCTGGAAGGCAGGAGGTCAGCTGGTTTTGCTGGCCTTTGACAATCACAGTACATGCCTTATACGCCTGCATCCTGCCCCCTTCTCTACATCCCTCATTCTTCTGGGATGAGGGAATTGCACAGTCAGAAAGGGGCGAGTGGAGAGGAGTGAACTTGACCTCAGCCATGGTCAAGCCACGGGGTTAGGTACAGGAGATCTAGTTGGGCCAACCAGGCAGATGGAGGTTCTCAGAGTAAGGTGTGGCCAAGTGGTTTATTTACAGG